GGGCTTGCCACACTAACTGCCGGCTGACTCGACCCGGGAACGGCCGGCGGAGGGGTTCCGGATCGGGATCGGAGACTCTCCAGACACCGGATGACTGTATCCTTCCAGCCGAGGTTGGTGGTGTCTGGGAGCTCCGTGGGATGGTGGAACGTCATCCCGATCCGGAACAGCGTCGCGAGGGTTTCCCCCTCGAGGGAGCTGGCGAGGGCGAGCGGCACAAACGCCCTCGCGAAGACGATGGGGTCTGGGCTCGCCTGAGCCACTGTGATGAACATTAAACACTCCTCCATATGGGGACGTGGAGGAGCGCACGGGAAAAAAGGGCAAAACAAAAACTTACAAAAACTGGAAATCAAACACGGGGAAGGGATGCCGCTTACAGTTCGGTCCGCTGTTCTGTCACGTTGCACACACACGAGGAACGAGGAGACGCTGGAGAATACTTTACCAAGACTTTATTTGCACCAAGGGAGACGAACACAGGAAGACGTTCAACAGCGGACAGAGAACTTGGGACTGGGAACACTATTTATACACACACACAGGAGGAGGGGATGACGAGACACACCTGGGAGCAATGAAACATCAAGGGAAACACCTGGGACAAATGAACTAAACTAATCAGGACAGGAACAGGAAACTAACCAAATAAGGGCATGGGAAGGCACATGGGGAGCAGGACACACACAAAACATGGAACAGAGTCTGACATATATATTCAAATAGCTAGAAATATGAGATAATGTTATTGTTAATGTTTACTAATGAAGTTACTAAACATTACCTAATGATTAACATATGATTATTTAATGTAAATTGAAATGCTTACAAATGTCAGTAAACTTTCAGTTCGTATATGATCTACATTTGTTGGTCTCTGTTTGCTGTGTCGACCTCTATTTATATCTCTATTTTAATCTATTAGTTATTTGTTCGTGTTTTTGCAGTACCCAATCTAATGTTGAAACTATTCATCATTTGCAAATGTTTATACATGGTTATTAATCATTAATACCTTTATGAGCAGTCATTTCGATGGCAAAAAGTGTCCCGAAAGACCTGAATTTAACCTATTCACACATCTTTACTAATCATTTATTAATCATTTCTTCATGTTTTTGCAGTAGCCAATCTAAAGTTGAAACTATTCCTCATTTGTAAATGTTTATAAACGATTACTAATCATTTAGTATCTTTATGGGCATTTGAATTTTAGCTACTGTAACAAGGTTTGTGTAAAGAGTGGCTGGTTAAGTTTAGCTAATGCACTCACATTAGTATACTACTCTTCAGTGTATCATTAAACAGGATATTTCTTGAATCATAAATAAAGAGGAGAAAACAAATACTTGTTAATTTATCAAAACAATATAAACAGATTGAACTGCTCCCTTATAGTAATCAAATTGACCCCTTTACACTGTTGACCCTTTAACCAACCCTTAAACCTAACCATACCACCAAACCTGTGCCTAACCTTACCTGAATCACACCTCAATAGCAGCAAAAGTGTTGTGCATTAACACAAGCTTTTGATCATTTTATAACATCTGTTAAAATCTTGTAGATTTTCAATAAGTGCTTGATCATATGGAATTGAAAGTTTAATGACATTTGTAAGCATTTTAACTTACATGAAATAATGATTTGTTTGAACATTATCTAATGTTTAATAAGTTTATTAGCAAACATTAACAAGCACATTATCTCCCGTTTCTAACTCTTTGAATATATATTAACTAATGATCCATTAAGCATTTTATTATGTTTGTTAATGATTTATTAATGAAAGTTATTATAAAGTGTTAACGCTGAATCTTTGAAAGAAATGCATTTTATCATTTATTATTCCAGGTATTTATTAAATATCGTTTTTGATTTCCACATATCATTATGTTTATTTAATTAAACACATGGGTCAAAAATGACCCATATAGGAACCTTTGATATTTTCTTTTTCTTTTTTCTTTTTTTTACAAGTAGGAACATATATTTACTGCAGAAAACTATTCACCTGCCCCACGTTTCACAACTCAACATGGCTGCTTTTGTATAACTGATGCATGTAAGTCTTATTTTATAATTGTATACCATAGAAAATATTTCATATATTTTGAAAGATAACTGGATATAATATTTGAATGTTAGGCTAAAATTACCTTGACCTTGAAATCCATTACTAGTGAGTCAGAGAAACATGTAAAATACTATTAACTAGCTTGTTGTTGAAATATTCTATTTACATAGCTAATGTTAGTTAGGTCAACAAAATAAAAGTCAAAATAATACGTTATTATTTACAAGTATATATCATTGCTGTCAAGAGGAAACCTTGTATCTCCACATTTCATCGTTTTTATTGTTTTGTCATAAATCAATGCTATTGGTCACCCTTGGTCTGTCAGTGTTCCTGAAAAGTAACAGTTTTGGACATACAAGGTTTCTGTCTGACAGTGACGATATATAATCAGTATATACATGATCAACTGTTTGTTGTGCATTTGAAGTTTTTTTTCTTTTGATTTTCTTTATCCAGAGTGTTAGTATGGCTGATCCCAGTCAATCTAGATTAATGGCTGAAATGTTTGTAGAGATGCTGCAT